CGTTTTTAAACGTTTATTTCCTTTTATTGGGGGCTATTGCGGTCTAGAGGTTACGGTGTTCATCTCTCATCCATTAGGTCCCGGTTTCGAAACCTGGCAGCGTCGGAAAATTTTCTTCTCAAATATTTTCTCCTTTCACCTGCTTTCCTTTTAATCAAAAATTTCGGCCCCCCCCCCCCCCCCTCCTTCCACCCCCCCTCCTCCCAACACACACTTTGCTTCTGACTCTTTCTGCTGCCTTTCTATTGCTACTTATTGGCTCCTTCTTACTGCTGTCTTTCAACCACACCCCTGCACTTATCTGTCCCCCTGGTTTTATGCACCCCTCATAATTTAGCCAAATTTGATAATTTTTGGCATAATTTCTGATTATTTTCCTTTATCCTTCTTTGTTAAAATTAACAGAATCGCATAATTTCACATTTTGGGGCTCAGTTTGCACAATTTCAGAATGTGTCTTGCGTAAAACGACGGGGACAGACTTATGGTAGGTAAGAAGTACCGCCTAGCCTTCTCGAATAAGGGCAAAAAATCTCGCAGGTCCCGTGTGCAAGTTGCGCACATTAACGATCCCTTGGTGGTCCAAAATCAATAAGAGTAGGCTTCGTCCGCTACCCGGGCAAAATTCAAAATTAATTCCTAACAAACGACAAAAATGTTTAATGTATACCGTGCGCTCATATGACCTTACGCAGTTGCGAGCTCCGAAAAACACTTACCAAAACAAAACAAAATCTCCAGAGCAGCAGTAAAGTAATACGGGAGTTCGCTTTTGACCCCTGCCCCCCCCCTCCCCCCACATCCCCACCCATTTAAAAAAAAAAAAAAAAAAAAAAAAGTTTGATTAGCAACGAGGAAGCAATAACTTCATGTCTTTATACTGGGTCGATGTACTTCACTGAGCCAAGATTAGCCCTACGAGCAGGGTCGAAGCTGTCCACCCCTTAAAGATCTTCGTTGTGAGTGGATTGCATGTTATTTTATTTCTGTTTTATATTTATTGATTTATATTTCTTTTTAATTAATAAATTTCTTTTTGTCTTTATTTATTTCTATTTATTTATTATTTATTTCATTCTGTTTCTTTTTATTCATTTATTTATTTAATTCTGTTTCATTTTATTAATCTATTTCATTCTGTTTCTTTTTATTTATTATTTATTTCTTTCTATTTATTTCTTTATTCATTTATTCATTTATGTATTTATTCATTTATTCATTTCTGTATTTATTTATTTCAATTCCTTTTTGTTTACTTATTTATTTATTTCTATTTCTTTTTATTCATAGATTTATTTCTATTTATTTGTTTAGTCCAATTTCTTTTTATTTATTTATTTACTTCTACTTCTTTTTATTTATTTCTATTTTTAAAATGTACTTATCTTGTAAAAATGTGTTTGTTTGTTTGTTTGTTTGTTTGTTTCTTTCTTTTTTGTGTTAAATATCTGATATTAATTTTATTCATTAAAATTGTTTTATCTATAACTATCATTTATTCATTTGTTAAGCATTTATTTTATTTTTTTATCTATCTATTTATCTATCTATCTATCTATCTATCTATCTACCCATCTATTAATTTATTTATTTATTTCTGGGGGGGGGGGGGGGGCGGTCAGCTGCGTAAAACATTTACAGTCATCTCAGCAATTTCCATAGTCGATGGTTAATTATTAGACTCTAACAGAGAGCAACAGACGCAAGAAGCTGAAAACGCAGACACCAGCTAACAAATGACATATTCGTTAAGTTTTAGTTTTCGTTAGATTTTTACGGCACTTACAACACAATAAGGTCATATAAGTGCCGAAGATTAGAGGTGTTACAAGAGAGGGACAAATATAAAAAAGAAGGAGAGATAAAGCCGACAGTTGTTTCACAGGAAAGAAGGAGCAAACCACACCAGAACACCCGCCAACCACCCATGACACTTTCGTAGATCTAGTGAAATTAACGAACGCAGAGCATGAGAAGTACATAGTGTCAGCACATATACAGTCGTGCCCAGATATAACGAACGTGCGCCAGTTGTGTACCGGTTAGGTGTTTCGCTGTCGCACTTAAGGGACCCGAATTCGATTCCCGGGGGGAGGAACATTTGTATCGAGTATCTCGATCTTTCTGATGGGATGTTGTATTCCTCTCAGACTGGGTTGGCCCTGATAGCCTGGGTCGGAAGTCCGCTTCGCTAAAAGTTCGAAATTGTGTGTCCACGGAGGGGGGAGGGGGGGGGGAGGGGTTAAAAACAACTATGCTTAAAAAATGTATGTATCAAAGATGCATTATCTCCTGTGTTTTCATCTTTTTGTGTGCTTTTGAGTGTCGTGGGCATTGACAGTACAGCTTAACACTCAAGACTCAAAGAGTCTTGAAAAGTGATGTTATTGAAGACTGCAAGGTGTATCCAACAAAGATCGCACATGTAATACAGAAGGTATTATTTTGTTTTAGTAAGAGTTTTACGGCACTTGAAACACAAGATTAGAGGTAGATTTTTTTTATAGTAGAGTGTTTTACGGCGCTCGCAACTGCATAAGGTCATATGAGCGCGCGGGACACACCTAATATTTTCAGTTAGTAGGAAATTTTGAATTTTGCCCGGGTGGCGGCCGAAGCCTACTCTTATCGATTTTAGACCACCAAGGGATCTTTAACGTGCGCAACTTGCACACGGGCCCTCCGAGATTTTTCGCCCTTGTCCGAGAAGGCTAGGTGTAGACCTTCCCTACCAGAAGATCAGGGGTGTGGCTGAAAGACTGCAGTAAGAAGAAGCGAAGGAGTAGCAGTAGAAAGGCTGCAGAAAGAATAAGGAGCCCAGAGGAAGGAGCAAAGGAGGTGAGGGGGTGAGGGGGTGAGGGGGTGAGGGCAGAAAGTGGAGACGAAAGCAGACGACAGAACATTGCTAGAGAGAAGGAAATGAGGTGAAAGGAGACAAATTTAAAGAAGAAAATTTTTCGGTCGCTACCCGGATTCGAACCCGGGACCTTTTGAGTGAGACGCCAACACCTTAACCTCTAGGTCACGAGAGGTAGAAGTGGTACAAGAAAGTAACAAACACAAAAAAGAAGGAGAGATTTAAAGAGATAGATATGTACGATAGGATAGAAGGAGTAGCAAACCACACCAGAGCACCCACCAACCACCAAAAACAGAAGGTATAGAGCGCCGTAAAACCTTATACTACTAGAAGGTATAGGCCTAGGGAGAATTCAGCGACACGGTGAACCCAGCGGAGTCGACTAGATAGACGCAAGCTGAAAAAGTTTCCACACGTCGCGAGATCATAATGTGAACTATCGGACTATCAACTACTCTCCTTCAGGAGGCAGAAGGAGAAGAAACGATGGGAGGATCACATCTAAGACATCGATTTTTTGTTAGTTTGAGTAAAAAGAAGCACATTGACACAATAATGGTCATTTAGTACTAGAAAAAGGTAAGACAGACAGACAGACAGACAAAAACAACAGTGAGAAAGTAATGAAGTAGGACCTACCAGCGGCACCCACCGACAACCTGCACATTTAAGAGAGGACACGTATAAAGACAAAAGAGACTATGAGCAAGACCATAATTCAAGAGGGCTGGGATGAGTTTAGTGGAAAGTCATCCGTGCTTTTGTTTGTCTGCTTGATTGAGTAAAGGGAAGCACATCGACAGAATTAAAGGTCAATTTTTAGTGCTGGAAAAAAAAAATAAGACAGACGAAGGCACGAACAGAAACAACTGAGGGAAAGTAAAGAAGTAGCACCTACCAGCGGCGCTCTCCAAAGACCCACACAAGTCCAACAATCGAAAGGAGTGGAATGAGATTAGTGGAGAGTCAGTCATGATACTCCAACGGTCGACAGCACGGCTACAAGAACGATGTTTCTTCGCTTTCAAAAAAATCATTCTGATACTTGCCAATACAATTAGGTCATATAAGTGTCGAAAATTAGAGATGTTACATAAGAATAATAAACACAAAAAGAAGGGGAAAGGATAAGGACGACACTTGTATGATCGGAAAGAAGGAGCAAACCACACCCGAACACCCGCCAACCACCCATGATCGACGTTTCTTGTACGCACTATCTAAGCAGTACCATTAATTGTAAATGGACGCTTTTGGTGCCATTTTTTTCCTTTTATTAATACTCTTTCTGAAAAATTCCATCGGGTGGAAACAATGAACCTCTATTTTAATAACCAGAAATGTGTCGAAACAGTATCCAAGTCTTTACTTTTAATGCTCTTCTAAAATGACAACAGGGTTAATAGTGATAAACTATTATCACCATTATTATTTGGGCTGCACTAATAACAATAATACCATTTGAAGAAAGACTGTCATACAGTGAAATCTTTGAGGAGGAGAGGGGGAGAGGTTAGTGTTACTAATAACATTACATGGTTCTCGGTGCACTCCTATAATATACTGATCGACGGGCGGGCGCACCGTCAGCTCAACTGGTATCTTGCTGGACTACGGACTATATGGCCTTAATTCGAACTCCAACGGGTCGTTCTGAACTTGGGTTGTTTTGAGGAGGGTTTTCAGGCTCCCCGGCTATTCCACCCGGTTCTATCGGCGAGAGACGCTAAATTGGGCGATCCCACCTTTTAAATAAGTTTACTCTGTTAAAAGGGCCGTTAAACCTGTGCCATGCTACACTTACTCTCTTTCTAGTGTTAGTAAGGGTTTTACGGCACTTGCAACACAATAAGGTCATAGAAGCGCCGAAGATTAGAGGTGTTACAAGAGAGCAACAAACACAAAAAAGAAGGAGGGGAGAATAAAGACGATAGATGTTTGATAGGAAAGAAGAAGCAAACCACATCAGAGCACCCGCCAACCACCCACACTTACTCTCTGTGGAGGTACAATGAGAGTCAACAACCAAAAGGGAAGTTATGGTCATTATTGCGTACCCTTTCTCTCAGCCTTTGGGATGATAACCAACATCGAATAACACTGAAGCTGGCAAGGAATTCAACTCGTGAGACTTACTTACCTGTAGACATACGGGCCCTTTTCTACAATTGAAGGCGCTTCTTTTCCAGCGATGACCTCATCTGGGTTCTGCACATCAAAGACGTAGATGCCAAATTGTACTGGGACTGGAGGGTCTCGCCAGAAACCAAATGCCAGGGTGCCATTTTTGATGGGAAGTTTCTGAAAGAGAAAGGGGTAAAAATAAGCACATCATCAACACTAAGCAACTGTGACAGGCAGAGTATTGTCTCAGATGACATTGTGAGAGACGGACATGTTAGGCACCAGTGACAGGCACAGTTATATATCAGATGGCACTGTGAGAGACCGACGTGTACGGAGACCTGAGTCCGAATCCCTCCCACCACCCGCCTTTCAGGGGCTGTCTTGTGAGGTTTGGGTTTTTTTTTGTTTTAGTAAGAGTGCAACGGCACTTGCAACACAACAAGGTCATAAAAGTGCCGAAGATTAGAAGTGTTACAAGAGAGTAACAAACATTAAAAGAAGGAGGAGAGATTAGGGAGAACTGAATGATAAACAGACAGCACAGATCTATACCACATAAAAACAACAGTGCGGTCAAAAATTCGTGGCGCAACTTATCCTCAAATATCTTTTTAACGGTTGAATTATTGTCATCCATACTTTGCACAGCAGTTTGTATCAATTTGTCTTATCTTACTCATATTTTCCAACAGCAATTGAGATTAGATTTAAAAACTTTTCTACATTTGTTTATATAAAATACTACAAGTCTCCTTCACGCGAAAAATACAAATATTGTTGACAGAACTTCCCACTTCTCACACACATTTTGCATCCACATATGGCTTACGACACAGCTCCCCCATTACACTTTTTAATGGCAAAACTAGTTATAAGAAAATAATTTTATAGTGAACACTTTTTGCACTAAAAGTTCTTTAAAAAATGAGTTCAATAAAGATAATCTTACGATAAGAAAAAAATGGCGGACTTGCTTTTCTACGCGTCATTGCCCTTGCAGTAAACCTTTTAAAATCAGTAGAAACCACCCATCGGGATTTTTAATTAGTATTTATTGTTGCATTTTCTAGAATAGAGCTAACAGTTTACAAAAATATTGATCTGTTAAGACAAATTGATACAGGTCACTGTGCAAAAGGTGGAGAGTTGAGGAGACATTTGACAACAAGTTACGCTACGAATGTTTGACCGCACTAGAGCGCCGAAGTGAGCGTATAACAAAGTCTTATATGTTCGCTTTTAAGCACAAGAGGGCTATCCCTAAAAGTGCTGTTTCGAGAAAATCGACTGGTTCAGTTTTCTTTAAAAGACAAGGAGACTTTTTTCTATAAGTAAACAAATATACACACCAATGAAACCAAACTTCTATAGGTAGGACAATGCCCACTTTTGGTGCGGTTCTAGATTTCTGGAAACCGCCGAAATCTGGGTCAGCCCGCTTGTCCTTAAAAACGACCATATAGCCACCCCAGAATGTTTTAAAGAATGACTAGCACGGTTTCCCTTAAACTCAAACAGGAATAAGCGCTTGTGACCACGAGATTAGGCTACTTGATGGAGTGTCTGGGTCGGTCAATATATAACGTTATTTGGAAGTTATCTCTTTTAAAAAAAATATTTGGATTGTGCAATGTTTGATTACCCTGCGGTTTGCGGAAGGGGGGGGGGGTGTCTTACTTTTTGTTTGTTTGTTAATTCCGTTTACTTTGTTCTTTTTTTTTTCTTTTTTTTCTGGTCTACTTTCTGTCTCTGGTTGTTTGGCTATAATTTTTCGTAGCGCTTTGTCTTTCCTTTCGTTTGTCCTTTCTTTATTTCAACGTATTTGACTTGCTTTTCATGAATGTTTGTTGTCTCTGTTTGGTTTGTCTGTTGTTTTTAGTTTGCCAGTGCTTTCGTGTCCTGATGTGACAAAAAGACCACAAGCAGGGGACACAAATCCAAGGCGTGAACCGTAAGTCCCCCTCCCATCCCCCCAATCATTAAAAAAAATAAATAAATAAACAAAAAACGCGCGTTCATATGGCCTTATGCAGTTGCAAGCGCCGTAAAACCCTATACTAAATCTTTTAAAAAAAACAACAACCCCCCTACAAAAAAAAATTTTAATACGAAAAATGAACAAAAAATACACCACTTAAATCCTCTCCGAGGGGAGATACAATAACCCAGCCATGCAAGACATTCCCTAATTGAGGCGGCCCGGGAGTGGGGTGGGGCACAACAATCCATCAGAAAGAAAAATACAGTTGCTTACAACCCCCCCCCCCCTTTCCATTTGTGGGAATGCACCTCACCGCGTGTTTTGCCAGCAAAACGAAGGGTTTATCCACAGCATATAATATACAATTGACATTTCCACTGCTGGGTAAAGAAGTACACGCGCTTGTGTTCTCCCGAACTGATTTGCTACCATTTTTACTCCAGACGTATTGATGGATTTTTAGAAAATGCATTCTTATTCTTAACAAGAGGAAACATTTCCGAAAAAATACATTATCGTATGGTTTTGTTTAAATATAATATCTCCGAAGGGGTCCGTTTTATACATTGTCTGTAAAAACATACATGGAAACGCTTTAGCACTAAAAGGGTTGAAGAAATCATCACGATTCAACCGACTGGACACACAAAGGTCAACAAGAACAGCTTACATAAAATAGAACAGCTTACTTAAAATATAGCAGAAAATATAGCGGCTTACAAAAAATATGGAAGAAAATATAGCAGCTTACATAAAATATAACAGAAAATATAGAAGCTTACATAAAATATGGAAGAAAATATAGCAGCTTACATAAAATATGGAAGAAAATATAGCAGCTTACATAAACTATAGCAGAAAATATAGCAGCTTACATAAACTATAGCAGAAAATATAGCAGCTTACATAAACTATAGCAGAAAATATAGCAGCT